CGCGTTCGCAGGCCTTTTGAGGCTTCAGACTCTCGGGCCCCGGTTGTATATATATACCCTAGAAGTCCAAAGACTATATTTTGACTGGCTGGAGTAAATGAAGTTCCCTTTCAGTTCCCCTAAAGACCATTCTTTTTATAGTCTTTGACTCCCAGGGTATATATAACTAGAATGAACTCCTTTGGGAGTCGTGGCATGATTGTTGTGCCGAGGAAGTGGAGGTGCAAGGCAAGAGCATGAACCCCATGACGGTGCAGCTGCCTGGTCACAGTGGATGGCTCGTGGTCGAGGAAGCCACTCTTCATCCAAGCCAGGATACCAAGATTTGGCTCCATTTGCAAGGACCGGGAAGCTTCGTTCTTTTTAGTGGGACAGGAGTGGATCAGAAAAGGATCAGAGACATGGCAGATGGGCATCAGTTGACATATCCCCTTGCGGATGAACTATATAGAGATGTTCGTTCGCAATCTTGTCATCAGAACGTGGGGGAAAAACACATCGTCGCACTCGATTTGATGGATGCGATCCTATGGTTTTCTTCCAGCCACGCTTTCTCTTTCCGCGCAGTCGCTCCGAACTGGGTCTCCAGCGGCCAGCGCGGCGCGGCGCGGTGAGCGCTGCAGGCTTCCGTCCGGAGAAAGCTCGACGTTGGCCATCTCTCGGCGGCATCGAGGAGGCGCTCGACGCGCCCAACGTGCCCAACGGGCGAGGATCGCCATCGCCATGATCGGAGGATGTCCCATCCGTCGGATCCGGAGATCCACAGGTGGATGCTTTTCGGATACCTTTGTTGAGGTGCATAGTGACAGGCCACATGCACATCTCACATCAGCTCCTTTTAAATCAACATCCGAGTTGGACTTGGGAAACCAGCCAAGTGAGAACTCCTGGTTCTTTGGGACAAAAAGATGTCGCAGTTCTTTCCCCGAACAGGGCGAACGAGACTCATCCGCAGCTCGGACGTTCCAAGAAGGAGAGCGTGACGTCGCATCCATCGACATGGACATGGACGTTGGCCTCGGAGTAAAGACCGGCCCTCTGTGGTCTTTGACTGTTTCAGGCTCTGGAGATTCCAAGATATTCCAAGAACCTGACGTCCGAATGTCTGAACTCTCCCAACAACTCTAGGTTGGAGGCCGCCAGTCAATGTCGACATTGTCTCGTCAGTGTCTTACTTCTTTTCGAAGTTCTTACAACCCTAAGGATCCTTGGACCCTCCGTAGAAGGGGTCGAAGCCTCTATAACAAGGGTTTGTACCCTCATGTACCCTCAAAACCCTTGTTTTTGAGGGTGCGGATCCTTAGGGAATGAGACTTCGGTCCAAACGCTTTTAGACCTTCCGCCCGAAATTCAAGCGAGTCCGATCCTTAGGGGATGTCTGTTTGAGGGATGTTTCTTTAAACCCCGGGAAGTCTCTCTGACCCCTACGGAAGGGATGCCTCTTCAACCTGCTGTCTCTTTGACCCCCAAAGCCGCTCCACCTTGCCATGGGGAGGAGGTTTGGGACCCGTTAAAACCCGAGGAGAGGCACGGTGCTGAGCTACTGCTCCTTTGTTGATCCTTTGCCATTTGAGCGACCGAGCACCCTCCAAGTCAAGCATGTGACAACAGCATACCTCTTGCCAATATCTCCCAAGCATCTGGGCAACAAAACTCAGATCCGCTCTTCGCTGCTATGGAAAGAGGAGATTGGGGGGTTGCAAACTCTTGGGGACATTGTGCTGACTATATAGATCCGACTCGTTGAAGTCCTCAATTTCGAAGATTGACCCGGCATTTTCGCCATCTTCCACCAAACCAAACCGTTTCCCCTCCGAAAAGTAGCGTTTCAGGCCTGAACTCTCAAGTCCTGGGCTCCACTTTGTTGGATCCTTTGAACCCCAACACTCTTGGACACTTCGGCGCCGCTCTCCTTGGTGATGGAGCCGGGGATGGGTTGCGTCACGACCTTGGCAGTGCTTTGGGCGCCGGTGCACCTCTACCTCACCCAGACGGACTGGCGCGCGCTGCGGAACTGGCTAGGTCGGATCGGTGTAGCTGCAGACCGCAACGTCCTTGAACCAAGCAGGGATGGGACCGTGGAGAACGGACGTGGAGGTGGAGAACGGGAGCGGGTGTTAGGTCAGCGGGTGAACGGGCGAGACAGGGCCTGAAGGGGGTGGAGAATCAGCACAACGTGTGGGACAGCACGACGTCGAGGAGAAAGGCTATATAGATGTTCCCCCACAAGTCTACGAGATAGTTCTTTTTTGGGGGGCATTTTCTTTGATTCTGGTGGCAGGTTTCGTGGTGACCCCATTGAGAAGCATCCAAGGTTCTCAAGGAGAAACGCGTGGAGGAGGAAATGCTGAGCCTTCGCCAGAGGAACTACAAGCTCTTCAGCAGTTTCATTTCCCACCTGAGCTTCCTGGAATTGCAGCAGCTGAGTATTTGCTTGTCTTTCCAACACCGGACACCCCTCTTCCGACTATCTTGAGCTCCACGCGGTTTTGTTTCAAGACGGACATGTGCCCGTCCTGCTTCGGCAATGCCAGGAACCCGTTTGTTGGATGCCTTCTGACCGGTCAGACCGGTGGCACAGTGTCCCGCGCAAAGGTCCCTCAAAATCCTTAATTTGTTCCGAACTTCTTTGACCTGAACTGGTGATTACAGTGGGTTCAGAGTAGATGGCACAATCCCCACAAGGTGGAGTTTATGTGGACCCTATCTAAAGGATTTAATTTCTTACGAACTTCTTTGACCTGAACTGGTGATTGGTGATTCATTTGGCTTTCTCCAGTTCCCTCGAGTAGAGACACATGTCCCCCAAATGTCCAAAGATCCCAGATTTCTTCTCCATGTACGGCTTCTCCTACGATGCCTTGGCAGCTCCTGAGCTTGACAACATCTTCGTGGCGGCTTGCTGCATCTTGAGCTATGTGCAGCACCTGATGGTGGCACAGGAATGGCTCAGTACCTTGTTGTTGGTGGGGGATTCTCTTTTTGATTGGAAGGAACTGTCCAAAAGGGTCAAGCTCGAGCAGATGGACCCATACTATATGGGCTCCCCAACACGACAAACTTGTAGATGGGTCTGGAATGATTTGGGAGTACCAGGTGAGTATGATGTGTTAGTTATGCAGTTGTTTTGATGTTGTTTGTTGTTGTTGTTGTCGTTGTCGTTGTCGTGGTTGTCGTGGTTGTCGTTGTTGTGGTTGTTGTTGTTGTTCTTCTTCTTCTTCTTCAATGATGGTAGTATGGTCTTGTCTTCTCTACGACTCACCAGCGGCAAGGATCTGGGGCATTGTCTCGGAGTCTTCTTGTGTTACCCAGTGGATCCCAGGCAGTTCCCACTAGTAGTAAGGAACCAGGGATTCGGAACCGGTCTATGGTTGGTCTTTGGAACCACTGGTTACCAGCTAACTCGTGGTTTGTCTGGATGCCCTGGATTAAGACGAGCCATGTTTGCGACACCTGAAAGGCATGAGCCCTCAGCGCCTGAAGCTCGTGGCGGTGCTCCATCACTCAGCGGGGCTGCTCCTACGGATAATGACAGGAATCTCTGCAAGCCCAATGAAGTTTGCAGTGACTAGACCGTGCAACGGGTGTTCGGTTTATCTTCTTGAAAGGCGTTTTGTTCCTTCAGCAACCCTAAAACCGCAAGCGCCCTAGTGACCACTGGTCCCGTTTGACGTGTGTGATTAAAAAAGAATGGCCTCTAAGAAAGAGCCCTTTTCCCACGGCTGTTTGTTCTTCGGTTCAGGTCCTTGGTTTGATGGCTAAGTCAGGTGATGCATGGGTTCAACATTGCCGTTCGCTTCATGCTGGTCTTCACCTTTTTGGATCCTTGGGTTTCAATTCCATTTCAAGTACTCTACACTCTGGCAGATGTCTTTGAGTACGTCCTGCTTTTCGAAGGCACTAGTAGCTTGGAAGCCAAGAGCCTTTCTTAATTTCGTGCGATGTGGATCTTTTCTCGGACGAACTCTGGCACCACTGGAGAGACCAGACCACAGTATTTATTGGTAGTTTCAGAGGCCATCGCTATTAGGTTGGAGGCCATTGCTACTAGGGTGGAGGCCATCATTAGGTTGAAGGCCATCGCAGTTGGAGAAGATGGTGCAGGATCTCTACCACGGTGGATAGGATGACGACACTGCCGTTCCAAATCTCGGAGATCGGTGGGTGCGGGCACCTCACCTCACCGTTTCTCAGAATTTTCATCCGAAAGAAGGTCGGTTTTGGGCAGACTTAGGTGAGCAAGCAGGCTCCTTATGGTACTCTCAATTCTTCATTTGCCTTCTCAGCATTGCTGCGTCCATCTTGATTGATTCAGTGCTTCGAGCTCGCATCTATGCACTCTTGGACACGGCAGATGCTGAATCCTTGGTCTCCAGCTTTCGCAGGGTGCTGAGAGGTGTTTGCGATGGAGAAGTTCTTTTGGACAGCCATATGAATGTGGCGAAGGAAGCTCACCTGGTCAATATAGTAACAAATGACATGTTGAAGCGGTTGTTGCCACTCTTGCTTTTGGGGAGCCCCATGCGCATGCTCAGGAAAGCGAGTGCTTGAAGCATTTGATCCTCACCAATGTGAGCCTCACAGGCAGCTCCTTCTTGGATTTGCTGGATGGGGAGCAGCACAGGTTCAAGGCCTTCATCGATTCCTCCATGGCGTCACCTGAGCCAAAGGACTCCTTGAAGCGCACGGACACGCCGCCTGCAAATGGCTTGCGTGTGTCGTTACGTGGATCGGAAGGCGTTCGGGTGGCTGCCGATCTTTATCACGTGCCTGGCTTAGATGAAAGACAGAGAGAGAGAGAGCTTGAGGTTTTGAGGGTCTATGAGGGTCTAGGGCTCCGGGCTCCAAGTACACCCTGTAAACTTATCCCAAGGTGCAGATCGACTGAAATGATGAGTGCAACATCTACTTGGATCATATAAAGAACAAAGAGCACTGAACACCACGGGTACACTCCTGATGATCCCAGAGGGAGTGTATTTGTTTTAGATGGTCTATTTCCTAAGATGTGCGGAAGAAGGTCTGGATTGCGGCTTAGGAAAAGGACATCAGGAACCATTGGAACCTTTCTCCTCTACCCAAGGCCTCGAAGATCTACAGGATCATGTCAGATGTCATGCCAGCATGGTGTTTTGCTTCGGCCAACCCAGCTTCTTGTATATATAATCCAGCATCCTTCTTCTCCGTCCTCTTCGCCCCATTCTTGCTCGGACACAGGGACACAAAACACCACTGCCACGACCGAAGAAGCCACGGCACCGTGGCTGAAACCACACGGCCCCGGTGCGGAGCTGAACCCGTCCATCAGGTGCCCGTGCCGGGACTCTTCGGTGCCAAGGAGCCCTTTCATTTGATCGCCTTCAAGGACTGGGCCGGGGCGGTGCCCACGCCTTCTCCTCCTCCTCCTCCTCCTCTACGACCCTCTCTCTCTGAGAGAGGGCCGAACCTCGGGAACCTCACGTGGTTCGAAGACGTTTTCCGGAGCCGAGCAGCCATCTCGATCTATCCGTCTTTTGGTGTGGGGGCCGAGCCGCCGAGCACACCGCTCACCTCTGCTCGGCTGGTTCGGCCAGGTGGAGCGATCGAGACTCGAGGGGACTTGGGACGGAGCACAGCGAGCGATGGAGAGGAGGGGTAGCGGCTATGCATAGCGTTCTGCGTATATATAGCTAGCGGCTAGTGAGGGGTGGTTTTGGAATCTGTCTAAATGAAAGAGTCTGAAGAGGGATGAAGAGTGGAACATCTATAGAGGTGGATGATGATGACAGTGAGTGTCCATTTGCCAAGCTTTGACACCTCCCTCTGATTCATTCCATTTCAATTGGGTGGAGGTTGACCATCGCTTGTGGTAGACGGACGTTTGTCCATCGCGAGCGATGGAGGCGTTTCCTGGCTGGATCATGTCCCATCAAGCCGCCTTTTCTTTCGCGAAGACGAAGATAGCCATACCCTAGCTGCCCTTTCCGCCTTCCTAAATCGACCATTTAAAGGAAGGTTTGACCAGGTGTTGTGTAACATCCTTTGGCTGAAACCACGTATAAAGCATACTGATTCTTCGTCAGGTGGGCGACCGGAACGACCGGTTGGGCACCTGTGGTTCGTCACCGGTTCCCCGGGAAACCCCGACAGGACCGGGGAACCGGGTGGTTCGGTTCCTCGATCGGTGGAAGCAGGTCGAATTCGATGGCTGGGGTGGCGCATCAAGGAGGTTTGGTCGGAGATGGGAGTTACAGTACACTAGTTATATGTTTTCGTCTACCATATAGACTCTTGAGGACCATAGTTCATCCCATTTGGATGCACGAAGTCCTCATCATTGTGGGGGTATTATATCCATCAAGAGTCTACATTGCCATGTTACACCAGGAGCGTGTTCTTTTTGGGGGGACTCTCTTTTTGTTTCTTCTTCTTGGCACTCAGACGAGGACGTCCGGCCATGAGATGGCCATCTCTTCCTCCCTTCAGGTCCCCGAACCACAAAACGATGTGGGTCTGAACTATACACCGACCGGGTCTGTCCGAACTTGCCTGTAACAGTCAGTAAACAATCACGATTTTTGAGCAAGACCTGCCACTGAACCATTATCCTCATCCACTGTAACTGATAGTAGGATAGACCCAATATATACCAGCAGGCACAAGACGGGGTGCTATCCATGGAGGAAGTCGGGGTGCCCCTGTCACATCCACTCACTGGATGGGACGAACCAAACCACCTCGTCTTGCGACTCCTGGTAGATCCTATTTTTGGAGCTTCCAAACCTTTCCAAACCCTGCGAGTGTTCTATTTTTTCCTCTCTCATTTTTCGCCGAAAAAGATGGGCCCGGTTTCGTCTTCGCGTGAGGCCGTCGCCGTCGACCTTGTTCGCAGGAGGACTTGGACTCTCGAACCCACCCTGAAGCGGCAGAGGGTGCGGTGCCGGATGCGCTGCAGTTGAGCGGTGGCGGATGCGCTGCCAACGCGTCGCTCGGGCAAAGAATTCAAGAACTCAGGGGTTGGGGACATGGGGGTCTCCTTTTGGCATGATTGACATGGGTGGGTCATGTTTGGTTCGCAAAGGCTGATTGACATGGGTGGGTCATGTTGGTGACGCAGTTGGGTCCGGTTTAGGAGGACATGGGGTTTCCCCTCTCACAGCTGCGATGCGTTCCGTTCGACCATTTCTGTCCAATCGACCGATCCACGGGGAGTTGAACCGTCAAACAGCGGGTGTTTTCAGTGGTCGTTCGGTTCATCCCACTGATCAGCATCTCGGTTTTCACAACGGGCGACCACAGAAGACGGACAAAGCCAGGTGCAATGGTGAGGAGTAGAACTATATACCCTACCAGTCGAACCATTGTTTTAATAGCCTTTACCAAACCACCATTGTTTTACTAAGGGTTTACACTACAAAACCAGATCGTTCCCATTTTTAAAATGGTCTTTGACTTCCAGGGTATATATATTATATATATATATAAAGAAAAAGCACCTAGCATTTCCAACGGGTGCCCTGTCTGGAGACCTCTTTACGTAGGGTAGGGTAGTGTAGCCAGGACACCCAGGATGACCCTGGCATGAACCACTTTTATGGGTCGGACGAGACTTCCTGCCTCCTCCGCATTCCGCACCGCGTTCCATGTTCGTGTCCAAGGAGCAGGGATCCGATCGGCCAGCAAACGGACACAGCTTCGATCCGCTCAGCCAGCACCAGCCGCAGCTCTTCGGCACCAGCCGCGTTTCTGGATCTGCAGGAGATGTTTTTGCTGGTCGATGTGGACACGGAGCTTCAGGATGTGCAACAAGTCGAGCTGAACTTCAAGCGTCACTCGCTCACGAAGTCGGCACCCAAAGGTGTTTTTTCAGCAGAGCTATGTCCACAGGGTGAATGTATTCTTCACTAAAAGCAACCATTAGACTTCGAACTTCAAGCATCGCTCCGCCGTGTGAAAGCGTTTGTCGTGTGTTTGTCGTGCCTGTTGTGCCTGGTTTCACTCTTCGATCGACGAACTTCCTGGGTCATCCTGTCTGGGTGTCTTGGCGTTGGACGACCCAGCCCACTGCGTGTTTGCGACCTCGATCGCCCCAGCCAGGGTGTACCAGACAGGACGATTCGATCCGTCCGAGCCAGCGGGCGCACAACCCCAGTGGGCGAAGGCGGAATTCCGAACCTCCTCATTCCGATGGTCGGTTTGCTGCGCGAGTGCCAGCGCTTCGTCGGTGGACATCGTGCTTGGGGAAACGGTGCCGTTCGTTTCAGATGGTGAGAAGTCATTGTTGGACCCTGGAATTGGGATCTCGGACTCATGTGGATTCTGTAGGATTCTGTATGTCTTCACGAGAGAAAAAGGTTTCATGATGATTCACTCTTTCTGGCATGTGACATGCTTTCGTCCTTCTTCTCATCCCCAAAGAACAACTCGGACTCGTACAAGTGACGCCCAGCCAGGCCAGGAAGAGCCCTTGGACGTCCCCTCCGGCCTGCATTCGGGCATGCCCAGCCTGAGAAAGCTGGTGAAGCCCATGGACTGGGAGAAGGTCCGTTCCAAAGTGTCCAAGTTCGTGGAGAAGTCCATGCGAGGGGTTGCCCGACGGTGCGTTGGAACGGTGCGAGCGATTGAACGCGGCCGTGCTGAAAAGGGTCTACTGTAATGTCTATGTCTAAAAGGTCTTCGAAATAAGAGCACGAGCAAGTTGAGCGCTTCTTTCTTCTCATTGGATTGCAGCAACTCTTTGTCCTTGACATGTTTGGAGATGGTGTGTTGTTCTATTGTTTTTTTTGCTCAGCGTTCGGAGTAACCGTTACTTCATTTACTTCGATGAAGTTGAAGAAAAGAAGATCCGGATTTGGAGATGAATGAACCAACTTTTCTCCGACTCCTTGACATGGAAGTGGACGGCAGCCCATACCCTTGGAAGACGAGTTTCCTTTAGAAACAGGGTGTGTTTCTCTCACTTCCCATGTGAGTGAGTCGGAGTGTATTCAGAACAAACTATTCAGTCAAGGTATCAGAAATATTCATAAATGACGAATGAAGCAAGAACCTCCAATGATTCTTGGCACCCCGTTTGGGAGTCGTGGCAAGATCTTTGTGCGGAGGATGTGGAGGTGCAAGGCAAGAGCATGAACCCCATGACGGTGCAGTTGCCTGGTCACAGTGGATGGCTTGTGGTCGAGGAAGCCAGTCTTCATCCAAGCCAGGATGCCAAGGTTTGGCTACATTTGCAAGGACGGGGAGTGCAAACGAATTCGAGGATTTCAAGAAAACATAGGAAACGTTGTCTAGAAAGGAGACGCTTTTGGCTGGTCCGTAACAGCAGGGCAACGCTGCTTCGTTTTTGCGGATCTGACGTTTCAGCCACGTCGCCTTGCCAAAAAAACGCAAAGACATCAAAAACATGCTTTCCTCGTTCGGGGATTTTAGTTTGTTCTGGTCAAAAGCGCACAAAATCCTGAAGAGGATTCCGCCCAGAGAAAGCTCGACTTTTACCATCCTTAGGCGGCATCCAGGAAAGCAGCAGAGATCCATGAGTCTTGGGTACCGATTTGGGTCTATCCAAAGCACTGCTGAGCAGACGGCAAAAGACTTTCCTTATACATCTGTAACTACGTTATATTTGGATCTTCTTCACCACGCAAGGCTAGATGACCTCAAATGTTTTTCATGAGCTCGTATTTGTGCTGGATGCAACTGCTGCCAAATGGTGATTCGGATTGACCCACGCAATCCCAGACGGATGGACTGCGACCATTTTCCGGGAACACCTGGGGAGAGAACGCCGAGCCCGTCCCTCTTTACGAAGGTCTCGGTGATGTAGGGGCCGGAGGCACAAAGACCGCCGGGTAGCCGCTGGGTAGCCTGTAGACCACCTGTGGTGAAGAGAAGACCTCTACTGCGTATTGCTGGTCTTCAAACACCTACGGCACAAGAAGCAAAAAAGCGAACTTGACTGGGAAGAAGGCACTGGGAAGGCCCAACTCTCCTGCGAACTAGATTCAGTAGTCCAACCTTAAGTTCAACGATACACCATCCGGCTGGATCTCCCCCCCTGCTGGGCCTGTCCGGTCGGCCTGATATCGGGGGAATTTCGGATCCAAAAACAGGTTCACCGGCTCTGTCCCAGTTTTTGGTACACTCCCTGAAAGCATCGGAAGTGGAGTTCACCACCTGTTTGGTATTTGGAAAAGGATGATCCAAGGCTTCCATGAGGCCACAGGCAGTGTCACTCCATGAGGCCACGGTGGCTGAACGAAACAGGACAACGGTGGCCCAGGAGTTACATGAATTTAAGAGTCTTTACCTTCACAACTCTGAACAACCATCGTTTTACCACGGAGTTTCGACGAGACTAGCACATCTCAACCATTTGTTGATGGTCGAGGTCGGAAGGCTATGATTTTTTCGCCGACAGATCTCCATGATTATGTTGCTAATGAGGGGTTGATGCCCTAGGGCTCCAACTACCTCCGTTTCGAAGGTGGGACTGGGGTGGATAAGGAGGGTCTAACTATCTTCGGAGGTGGGCCAGGAGCCCAAACGGGCCCTAGGGATGAAGCAAGAGTAACCATTCCTAGGGCTAACCACCAGAAACCTAGGAATGGTCACCATTTCAGGGTTTTCATCAGGGTAACCATTCCTGCTCTGAAGAAAGTGACCCTGTGAATGCCCCCCCAGCAGATGAAGTCACGATGACAAGGCTTGGAGGTTCGGTCCGGTGCGTTCGGTGAACTGAAGAAACTGGTCAAGGAGCGTTTGGAAACGAATTGCTTCGTACCAACACATTACGAAAGTACTGAGGTTTCTTGCGCCAGGTTTTGACTGGGTCAGATGGGGACCTTTTGACTCATTCCCTTGATTGGGGAGTTTTCAACCTGGGCAGGGAGTCGGCGTTCAGCTCATCTTTTGTCCTTTCGGGTCATGTTTCGTGATACTTCCGCTCATGGCGGTCCTGATCGTATGGCATTCGTCACGTGGAGTTCATTCTTCATGGCTAAAACTCGAGCGGCCATGCCATCCGCAGGGCACCTGTCGCTTCCGGCAAATGGTCACTGCCTCAGTCCCCTCAGTCGCCAGCGTGGCTCTCTTCCGAAGCAGCGGGGCGGTTCAGCAGCGGTGGGGAACCTGACGAGTTGGGATCGTGGCCCTTCCATGGGGCATCATGGGGCCACAGGCGCGCCACGGGCGCTACATGGACGCTACATGGACGTTGGCCTTATCCATGTTTGATGTGACCAGAAGGTCTCTGTTGGCCAAACCGATCGAATTAGCTGATGAGAGGAGGAGAGGAGAGTGCCCATCTGAGACCGGTTTCAGCTTTCGCGAGAAACCATGGTGTCCCCGCACGGGGGGCACACAGGAACGCATCCGTCCTCTTTCCCGCTGGTGGGAGCCAAACGGGGTGTTGTCTCGCCCGAAGAAAGACCGTTCGAAGAAAGACATCCGAGAAAAAAAGAAAAACAACAAGGGGCCAAACGCCTTTTGCCAATGTCAGGAATTCTGAAAGTGATGTGTGGTCTTGTCCATTTTTGGAAGTGGTGAAGAGTCTCCCCTGCTTCTTTCAGCTGATGAAGCTTCACCACATGATGCCTCCCATCGCGAAAATCCAAAACCCTTCGCGGACGTTTTCGGCCGTCGTCACCACGCGCGGGCCGAACGTTCCCGCAGACGGGGACGTCCCAAAGCGTCCAAGAAAGCCACAGGAAGCGCCTGTTGCATCATTGACTACCCCAGCTAGCAGCAGCCCTATGACTCCCTATGACTCCCCTAGCCCACCATCCAATTCTTGGCCCTATGACTCCCCTAGCTAGCAGCCCACTAGTCACAGTCCACCATCCAATTCTGGTCCTGGATCGCCCATCGAATTCTGGGTCGAGCCACTGTTGATCGCTCCGCGCCCTTCACCGGATCCCTCGCCCATCCATCGTTGCGGCACCGGATCTGCGGGCTTCGTTGACCTCCCAGGAGCACCAGAGGCTGAAGCCCAGCTGGGTGTCCTCGAAGCTGACCTCGCAGTTGACAGGCTTCAGCGACGCTTTGAGCCCGGAGCTTACAGAAGCGGTGGAGCGGTGCGAAGGCAAGGGAAGGGAAGGAAGGTGGGGTGTGACTACTAGTCCAAAGCCCCAACTGTCAGGGATTTTCCAAAGATGAATGGGTGGCTCGGGATGTTCTGTATGCATCCAGGAATTCTTGGCTGCGAACGCACAGGACTGCAAGGTAGAATACAGCATATGGGTGTGTAAGGGTGCGGTGACCGCACCGCGGCTCGACCGAACCGCCGGCGTTCCGACCCCTCCCGGGAGCCAGGGCATCTCCATACACACCCATACAGCTTGGCGCTGTTTCATGCGACGGTCCATAAAATGACGGTCCGGTGGCGTCCAGGGAAGACTTGGATCCGGCATCATCTCATCCAATGCATGGAGCATCAGACATGATATGGCCAGTATGAGGGCCAGGTCTGTCTGTCCAGGCAACTGCAGGGTGAACTGGTTGAGGGCTTGGTGAAGTGGATTGGTGTCCAGTCTTTTCGATATTTATTGACAGGGAATGGATAGGGCACCAACAGACCCCAAAGGGTTTCACTGATCCTTCCCCTAGAAGATCTAGAAGTCGTGGCCCACTAGAAACCAACAACGACCACCCTGTCTTCCATCAGGGGGGGGTGCAAACCTGCAAGACCCTCACCATCCCCGACCTGAACTCCAGCAACCACGCACCCGGTGTGTAACTTCCAATAGGGAGAACCTTCCCACCATCGGAAAGTCTTTCGTGGAACACAAATCCATCGCAGACATCTATTCCCCCTTGAGTCCAAGATGGGTCTTCCTGACCCACATCTAGTAGCCGTCCCGTCCTAGACGTCCAGTTCCTTTTCTCCGTAGAAGCCTTCCTTGACTCGGGACCAGACCCAGTACCGGTCGTCCTGGCGGAACCGGTCTGAGCCCAGCTGCGCCCGCGCGCGCGCGTCCAGCGAGGCTTGGATCAGTTGGTGGCCTCGGCATCGATGGTCGGGGCGCCGGAACCGCCGCGGAATTGCTGTGGGGCGGGTGCTGTCCATCGGAGGTCGCTGGTTCTGAGCCTTTTTGTGGCGAGAGTCACCAAAAAAACTAGATAACTTCATGCAACTTCATGTTAGGTCATGAAGACTTTTCTGCTGAACTCAGAAAAAACTGGAGTACTTAAAGGATATTGGATATGTCTACTTTGGAACTTGGTAATTACGCTAGGCGCCAGTGGGATCTTGAAGAGGATATCTCCCTCAATCTGCTGGGTGCAAGAGATATCGGTGCTGCATAATGGAACCTTTGGGGAAATGACCTTGAGGAACTTGAGGGTCAAACACTTCCAGCAAACTTGGGGATATAGAGATCGGGCATGTAGTCCCCCAGTTTTCCTTTTGAAGGTTTGTTAGACGCTGCCAGAAACGGACCTCACAATCGTCAGAATGTTTGGGAGTTTTGTTGGCGGATATCCTGCCAACGCAAACTTCATACAGTACTCTTCACCGAGCATGTGGGCAAGTGAAGCATCACTTACTGTCCGTGGACGAGATCCCACGTTACTCGAGAAGCCCGGTAAACACATGTGGTACAGCAATACTTGTCGATGGTTCTATCTAGAGCGGCCCTCAAATAGACAGAATACTGTAGACACTTTTGCTCAACTTTTCATTGCTGGAACATGTTCAACCATTTCAATTTTGTCCGTTTTACTATGTACTGGGGGTCACTACAGCCTAAACTAAAGACACTCAAAGCAGACAGAACTCATTCTCCTCATCCAACTCCTGCATTCCACGAAAACTCACTGCCACTGTACTCCAAAAACAACACGGAAGCCCATCTCCCGCCACCAGGTGCTTCAGCGGGTTGAGGGTTCCTTCAGAGCTGGAGGGCAGCAAGAAGAGTCCAAGCAGTGACCTGAGTTTGCTGAAAACGAGTGGATCAGTGTGATGCAAACGTGGAAGATGGGGATGAGTGGAAGAAGAGGGAAGAGGGATGGCCGGACATTTGCTTCTCAGAAAGAGATTGGTGTTGTAGTGAGCAAGACTTCTGAATGCCCTTTTCTTAGAGAATCTGAGATTGTATAAGTCTGATTACAGCAAGTCAACAGGAGATTCAAAGACATCCATCCAAGGTGCTATTGAATCAAGAATCAGCAGTCAACTAAACTCTAGATGACCATTCTCCCCTTCCGGACTGGAGGCTTTTACCATGTTCCTCCATTGTTCGCAGCTATTGAACCTGCCCAGACGCGACCCGAACTCGTCCCCGAACCTGTCGGCAGGGGGTCGGACCCGAATCGTTTGCCTCTGGGTCAGGGGTTCTGGACACTTTCCTCACCAAACCCTATGGTTACGCTTCGGGACCCGGTCGAGTCGGGCTGGGAACTCACGGAGCGGAGCGGAAACCGGGCGGCGCACACCGACGCTCGGGCGCTCCGTGCCGCTCCGGCCGCTCCGCGAGGTCGTTCACGGTGCCGGACGCGGTGCAGCTCATCGCCGGCGGCACGGTCATCGGGGCCGTGGCGGAGGAGAACGCGTACGGGGCACGCCGGAAGTGGCTCCGGGTCGGAGCTTCCGGAAGATGGGTCAACAGGATGGGAAGATTGTTTAGACCGTTTCATTTTTGGTGTTGCGACGTCGTTCAGCCGAGGGGCCGGGTCGTGGCGGCCGGGCCGGTCGTGCACCGGATATCCGACCGGTTTCGTATCGTTCTTGGCTTCGGTCGACCGGTTTCGAAGTATCCTGGTGCCTTGACCCACAGCCACTGGAGATTCTGCTACAAAAGGGTGAGGGAAGTGGATGCAGAATGGTGGATGCTTGGTGGATGCATGGTGGATGCAGTGGAGTTGCAGTCCTTGCTTGAGGAGGTTGGTCGCCGCATGCTTCGTTTTTTGGAAGACTTGGATGAACTGAACATTGCCACACCCAGAGTTTC